TGAGACAGACTGAGATGTAAACATTTCTGGCTAAATTCTCCTGGATACACCTTGCCATCCCACAGCAGAACCCAATGAAAAGCCTTTCTTTCTTCTTCACTTGGGTTGATGTTTTCCATTTGTGAGGTTGTACTGTTCCTCCCCAAGGATGGACCCTTCTGAGTCTAATACTACCTTGTTCAGAACAAAACCATCTAATTCATTTTGGTTTCCAGCTGTGTCCCTGGGAATAGACAGCTGATATTTGTAATTGAACTTTCTGATTCCTTGTTCAAGAGGTCTTATGAAATGGCAGGTTGTAGGCCTAGGATTCAGGGCAGCTAGGCGGTACAGTGGATTTAGTGCCAGGCCTGGAGTCAGGAAGACTCATCTTCCTGAGTTCAAATCTATCCTCAAACACTTACTAGCTGTGAGACCCTGGGCAAGTTACTTTACTCTGTTTGCCTTAATTACTTATCTGTAAAATGAGCTGGAGACAGAAATGACAAACCACTCCAGTATCCCTGCCAAGAAAACTCCAAATGGGATCACAGAGTCGGACATGATTAAAAAATGACTTAACAACAGGTCTAGGATTCCTTCTTCCCAACTTGACCTTTAACTTGTGCTTAAAGCTAATCTTCCAGCCAATAATTCACTGACTTAGTCTACTGTATTTTCCAGGGTTTAGCTTACCAGTATACGTGTGTCATGATAAAGAGCCCAAGCCCTTACTAAATTCCCAGCCTTCTCGATCTTGTTTTTGTCCCTTCCATGCTATGTGGCCCAGGGGAAAACTCCTCCAAACCAAAGGGGTTGGATTCTCCACGAAGCATGGAGATCATTCTCCACTAGTTTGTCTGATAAGGCTAAAGATGGGCCGATAGACTTTGCATAGAAAAGACTTCTGTTATCGCTACAGACAATACTGATATTCCTAGCCTTGACCTTTTTGCACTCTAGATGAATGTTCTTGATCACTCTAGGTTCTAGGGTATGGATTCTGACAGCTCAGAGCACATGACCCACTCAGGCTAGGTAACATCATCTCAGAGAATAAGAAGTACACATAATCTAGAACTTAATTTGAACTTTTTGCCCTTTCAGTAGTACTATGTTGAAGCTCTTTTGAAAATAAAGCTTTTCAATAAGGATTTGTTGTTTTAAAAATACTATTCCCTCTTCAGATCCATCCCTGCCATGTCCCTGACAGCTTGAAAGGTCAGAACGAGAGCCAGTGGGTGTGAGGAGAGGCATAGTGTGCTGCAGGAGGGCATGACCCTTCTCCATCCTGTCAGAGAGACCACACTAGGGGCTCTACCAGACCACCTCCCCTCCACTTTACATGCACACTGGACCCAGGAGGAGGGCTCTCCTCTCCTAATAGAGTAGGTGTGCTTAGGTGCCACGGGACAGGTAGGAAATTATAGGCAAGTGCGAGCCGCATTCTCCCAAATAGAAAGGTGTAAAGAGAAGGTAAACCAAGGCCAGAACCAAGTTAAATTTGAAGGTTTTAGACTGAATATGGAAACAACCTGACTTGTCAAGAAGCTGCTGTCTTTGAGCTTAGTTTTCCTCAAACTCTAGTTGTCTCTGGATGTCATTGCTTAGCCTCGTCAGTCCACAAAGATGTGATGTCGTTCTGGTGACGATTATAGCTGTTTCTCATTATAGCTCTTCTGCTAACTTTTTTGGCACCTGGACATCTCAGTACTTCACAGAGTACAAAGACAGGGGCAGCTCGATGGTGAAGTGAGTAAAGCACTGGTCCTGGAGTCAGAAAGACCTGAGTTCAAATCCAGAACTTACCAGCCGTGGGACCTTGGGCAAGTCACTTCACTTCTATTTTGTCTCAGTCTCCTCATCTGTAAAATTGGGATAATAATAGCACCTACTTCCCAGGGTTATGATGAGGATCAAATGAGATTATATTTGTAAAGTACTTAGCATCATGTCTAGTAGGTGTTATATAAATGTTAGCTATTATGTGAATATCATTATTATTAAAGAACCCCCTGGTCCAAGAATCAGGAGATAAGGGGTCCTAGTCCTGGTCCTGCCCTAACAAGCTAGGAAAATCACTTTAGGAAAAAATCACTTGACCTTTCTGAGCCACAGTTTTGTTTTTTCATCTTCTGAAATCAAAGGTTTGAACTAGACTAGAAAGCTGAGATCTTTTCCAACAATCTATTAATCAGTTTTCCTACCTATAAAGGCTGGATACTAATGCCCTGTCCCATTTCACAGAATTTGGGGGAGGTAGTGATGAAAGGAAACCCTCAGTAGAAGGTATAAGAAGGTACTGGATGGCACTATTTTTCTTTCCTTTCCATGCCCTCTTCTTTGATATCATGAGGGCAGTGCCATGATCTGCCCTTTGGTCATATCAATTTTTTTCTTTCACTGACTGGAAGTTACAGGCTCTGATTTTGGCTCTATGCTAACTTTTCTTGCTCCAATTGAAATGCAGGGTTCGGAGCACTGGGTGTTTATAGAAAGAGAGTGCTCTCAGCCTGAAGAGCTTGTGCTCAGGAAGCTGAGTGCCCCACAACCAGAGGAGCCCCCAGCCACAGTCCCATCAGATGACCTCTCCAGCAAGGGGGTCTCCAAGGTGGATGTCCGAGTGGATAAGTTCAGAGTTGAAGTGGCCACTGAAGAATTGGTCAGAATGAAGGGGCAAGGGGAGACCTGCCAGAGAGGAAGGATGATTGCGAGTCCTGAGGACTTTGAATCTGTGTGGGAAGATAGCGTGTGGGCTCAGAAAGGCCAAGAAAGGACTTCACTCTTGGCTGGTCATGCATTAGTGGAGAAAATCCCAGATACTTCCCAGCCCAGGCTCAGCAGCAAGGAGGCAGCCATTGGGGAACACAGAGCCTCAGCCAACCAACTTGAGGGACAAACAGAACTCAGAAAGGAGCTGGAAGAATTTCATGCCTGCAGAATACCTTCAGTAACAGGGCCAGGGACTCAACAAGAAGTGCCTGGGATGAAACCTGGGGACCCCGCCTCTGAATCTCTAGCCTTGGAGAAGGAAGGTACGAAAGCATCTCCAGGGGACTCGACCAGAGCAGATTCCAGTGATGAGACAGAGACCTCCCCAGCAGAAAGGAGCTTCTACTTAAGTTTTGCAGACAAAGAACAGGAGGAACTGGCCTCCTTTGTCCCTGAAGATGGGAAGGTAGCAAATCTGGGTGCCATTCGAGAAGATCAGAAAGGCCAAGTGGAATTGGAAGATGAGTCAACAGTGGCTCCTGAGCTTAGATCTTTAGACCAAGCCGTCTCAAGTCTTGGCAGTAATACTTGTATGTCTTCAGAAGGAGATGAGCCCCCAACCATAGATGTAGGATTAGATGAACTCAAAGTCCTTTTAGAACAACTGAGTAAGAAAACATCCCTAAATCATAAACCAACTAGCAATGAGAAGAGCTCTTGTGAGAGGAAAGAAGGAGAGTTTCCTGTTGCAACAGGAGGCAAATACATAGAGGAAGAAATGCCTGGGATTGGAAATTCTATAGAAAAGGCTCAAAAGAGTCCCCCAGATGAATTAGAGAGCCATTTACCAAGCAAAGGAGAAGGGAGTGAGTTCCCAAACACAGGTGCAAGGAGGGTCCCTCAAGGAAGTGTGAATGAACCAGACAGACAAAGGGAGGACCATTTTCTATTCCAAGAAAGGTCATTTCATGCTCTAGAGGGAGACCCTGAGCTGAATGAAAATAAAGTCTCTACAGTATTTCTTCAAATGGAAGGGATCATGATGAATGACCCTGCCCTGGCTTCCCCAGGGAATTCTGAGGCCCCAGCAGCTTGGGAAGATTGTACAGACCCATCCCCTTCAGAACAAGAGCAGCGGTCCAAGGATTGGCCCTCTGACACAGAACATCCCATTGTTTTTCCCAAGACTTTCCGTTTTCTGAAGGGAAGTCTGGGGACCAAGGAGTCAGTAGTCCATGATGTAGCTAAGACAGAAGAGCTGCCCACTACCAATGGGAAACCAAAAGATGGAGCCAAGCAGACCAGAGCAGGAGGCCTGGTCCTCACTGCCTTGGGAAGGGAACCCAAGCAGGGGATATCTTTCCAAGCTAGTGGTCATGAGGGCTCCCAGGAAGATATCAGCAAGACCTCTGTGGCCAATAAAATTAAGATATTTGAACGAGGTGACACTCATGGTGCAGATAACCTCTGGACAAATGTAGGTGATTCCAGGGCCCTTCCAAGTGAGCAATCATCTGAACCCTTCCCAGGGCAGGTGGAACAGCAACGTAACAAACTCTTGGAGCTAGGTTTTGTTCAGCTTCATCCCCCCGATAATATCTCTAGCCCCAAAGCCACAGAGCCTCTCGACTCGGCATCGGATACTAGTCACTTCATGGCTAAACCTAGAACATCTGCAGATCCCATCAGAGCTGTGCTCATTGCCACTGAGTTGCACCAGGAAGGGGACGAAGAGCTGAAACGTGCATCCATGGATTCTGGCTCCAAGGCCATATTGGCAGAAGCCAGGGTAACCAGCCATATGAATCCCTCTCTCTTCCAACACCTTGCTCTCCTCCCCACCTCCCTATGGAAACTGACTGCATGTTTTTGTGCTTCTTCCTGGAGCATGTTCCTACAGCTTCACATCCATCACCAAGAGCAGAGGGGGCTTGGCCATCTCAGTTTTTTGTTTTTCATAAGTGTAACCCAAGCTTATACCTGAATACAGACAGTTGCCCCAGTGATATCCTCCCTTTGGTTGGGCCAGAAATACCACCAGCATAGGCACAGTCTTCCTAGTCTGGAACGGAGACAGGGTGGTCTCGCCACCAACCATGACCCATCATCATCCTAGTATCCCCTGCTTTATCATGTTCCTCCTGTCCTGCTTGGCTTCTTTAATGATCGTCCCTTCTCCTGCCCCTGCTCCCCTCTCCTACCTGGGACAAGCTGATTGTCCTGCAGTCTCTACCCATTGGGTTGCTACTCCAGCTCAATGTCAAGCTCCCTTTCTGCCTCCTTAAGACTAACCTTTTTCTCTAATTCAGAGCAAAACTCGGGAACCAGCTCGGGAAGAGAAGGACTTGTCAGGCTCAGCAGCTAAAGTTGCTCCAAAGGAGAAGAGCCGTTCAGCTGGGCCCCAGACTGCCCAGGTCTCTGCCATTCATCCTCGCTCTGCCCGCCCGCTCGCCCATCCCCTTCACTGGGCTACAACTATACATGCTTTAGCCTAGGCTCCCCCACTCCTGTCTGCCTGTCTCCAGCTTGGAATCAGATCTCTCATACCTCTCAACCTTGCAGAAACTTCATAGACAGGGGCTCAGTTGGTCCATCCAGCCCCATTTGCGGGGTGGTCTTGAGAACCTCAATCTCTGAAGAGACTGTTCCTTTTGGGCTGAATTTGGAAGTTCCAAATGTCCGAGACCAAATCAACCAGAAATGTTCTGTTGCTGTTTTTATTCTCTAAAAACAGACTTGGAATAGAAGGAAATGAAGCAGGTAGAACTGTCTGTATAGACTTTAGCCTCTAATGGGTTGGGCCAGTTGAGAGGTATGTATGATAGGCAGGAGGGGCCTGTTTCCCCACTGTGCTTGTCAATTACACTGATGACCCGTGGTCTCCCTCCTCCAAGGGGGCTGAGGGTTGAGCTTGGCAATGCATCTCATTCTCCTTGTGGCTCTCAGCTAAAGGCACCTAGCTTCGTTTTGCTTCATGCCTAGAGTAGTAAATGAGGGTTCCTGCCCCAAGGAGAAGGAGGAGGTTAAAGAAATTGTATGCTAGAGCATGGTAGGTGATAGCATTGCTCCACAATGGGCCCAGTGGAATTGACAAGTCAAATTTGCTTCCTCTCTGTTATTCAGAGCTGGCTCCAGCCTCCTTGCCTCCTCCCTCCCTGCGGACTCCTTTGCCGTTTTGCAACACTGGACTTATTTCATGTCAGGGTCTGGCATCTGATCTGCCATCCGTGTCCCTCGCTCAAAGCCGCTTTTAATGAACTCCAAGAGCCAAACCTTGTATGGGGCCTCTCGTCCAGGGTGGACGTACAGGCTGGGCTTTTTGCTTTTTACTTGCTTCTGCCTTAAATGCCTGAGCAGGACTTTGCAGCTCCTCCATGGAGCTCTTGGGAAGGTTATGGTTTTCTTGGCTTGTGTTGTAATTTCAGTGACATTTTCTTGGGATGATCCTTTCCCTACTGCGAACCTCCATCTTTTGGACATTCCCATGTGCTCTGACATTCACCCTCTTGATTTTTGTCTCTCCTCTGTGTTCCTTGGCTTTCACCTGGTATTTAGAGAGCGGGGCTGAGGGAGGGCTCAGAAGAGAAAGTCAAACCCCCACGTCCTAAGGCCCCAGAGAGTGACCCAGGAGATGAGGACCAGGACCAGGAGCGGGACTCAGTCTTCCTGAAAGACAACCACCTAGCCATCGAACGCAAGTGTTCCAGCATCACCGTCAGCTCCACATCCAGCCTGGAGGCAGAGGTGGACTTCACAGTGATCGGTGACTACCATGGCACTGCCTTTGAGGACTTCTCCCGTAGTCTGCCTGAACTTGACCGAGATCGGAGTGACTCAGAGGCCGAGGGGCCAGTATTCCCACGAGACCTTGACAAGGCAGCCCCCATCCAGGATGAAGAGTCTAAGGCAGCGAGTGAAGCCCCAGAACGAGGGATCTGCCCCACCTCTGACATGCCCCACTTTGAGGTATGGTGGGGAGCCCTAAGCATCCATGTCTGTCATGAGTCCTCTCATTGTTTCTCACTGTGACCCCTGTCCTGATCCTGCATGTTCCCTAGGCCCTGGGGCCACTGTGGAGATGGCTGAACAGCCCAGAGTGGCTTCCTCCTCTTGGGGCATTGCCTTGTGTCGCACGACTGTTCCCGGCCCCCTCCGCTGCATGAGTCTGTGTTAGCATGTTTGCTGAGTCAATGGCTTGACAAGAATGCCACATTAACTCATTATTATTTCATCCTGTTGCATCGATCTTGACCACACAGGTGTGAGCATGACGGGATGGCAGGTGGGGGGTGTCTAGGGTGACAAGGCTCTATTCTCTGCTGGGCATGATGGTCATCAACAAGCATGCCTGTTGCAGAGTCTGGTCACTTCTTAGACCATGTCCAAGAGTCATGGTCCCTGGGCTGGAGAAAACATGACTCAAGTAGAGGCTTCCTGGAGAATGGACTGTTTTCAGCTCATGGATAAGGGTCTGGGGAAAAGAAAGTGGATAACATAGTATAGTAAGAATAAACCCTGGGCTTGACATCGAAGGACTTGAGTTCAGACTAGCTCCCTCTCTGAGAATTAGAAGCAATGTGACCTTGGGCAAATCGCTGAACTTTTCTGAGTCTCTATTTCCTCTATACAATGAGGAGAGGAAGCATGGCATCACTGGGGAGAAGGCTGGCTTTGGAGTCAGGAAAACCTGGGTTTGAGTACTTTCTCTAACATGTTTACTGTGAGGCAATGGGCAAATCACAACCTCTTTGTGTCCCAGGATGTCATCTAAGATTATGTTACCAAAGAGTTGCTGATCTGTGGTGTTGGAGAGAATTCTCTCCGCCTATGAAATCAGAGGTCTGCCTCCCTGGCCCCCTCTCCCCTACTCTGCCTCTGTCATAGAATAGTTTTGAGGACTAAAGGGGACAGCATACATAAGGTGTTTTATAATGATAAAGCACAGTGTCAGTGGATGAGATACTATTATTACTTCTAGACAAGAATAAGAGAGTAGGCAAGTTGGCTATGGGGGTGATAGGAAGGAGGTGCTGGAAAGGATCTGAATGGGCTGGTCTTTGCTTTCTCTCCTGGGTTGCACTATCTGTAATTATTTCTCTGTTGGCTAGTGCAGATGAGTAGCTACTGTCAGCTCATTATTAAACTGGGTTCTGAAGGGTAATAGGGGAAGAGCTCATGGTCTAGTTGGGGAGATAAGCCAGGAAATAGCCTGGGAAGGGTTTCAAGGTAATTGAGAATGATTTGACTCAATACAGATGAAGTACAGGAAGGTCAAATAATGGTGTGTGTAGGGCAAGGTTAGTCAGGGTAGGCTTTATAGAAGAGGTGGCTGAGAAACCCAGTGGTGACTCTCCATCCCCTGGCTTTCTTGGGTTCCCGGGCTTGTTCAGCACTCTCTCTGGCTTTGGTATTTAAGCCCATTGGTAGAAGGAATGTTTGGAAAGGAAAGAGCTTTAGTATGGGATGGGGGAATTGAGGGGTGGGGTGCAGTTTTAGGGTTTAGGAGTGTCCTGGTTAATGATATGCAGAGGAGGCTTAGGACAAGGTGGAGCTAGGGAGAAAGCACTAGACAGGGTGGCTTTGGACAGATGCTTTTCTTTCTAGGGGCCTCAGTTTCCCCTCCACTGTAAAATGAATGACTTGGTTGGATAAGTTGACCTCTAGTCCATAGAACATTGGGCTTAGAGTCAAGAAGACCTGATTTCAAATGTTGCCTCAGATGCTTACTAGCTGTGTGATCCTGGGCAAGTCACTTAGCCTCTGTCTGTCTCAGTTTCATCTCTAAAAAAGGGATAATAATAGCACCTACCTCCCAGGGTTATTGTGAGAATAAAATGAGATAATATTTGTAATGTACTTTGAAAAACAGAACATTCTATAAATGCTAGATATAATATTATTATGATCATTATTTTTTAAGACCTCTTGCAACTCTAAATCTGTGATCCCAGGATTTGCCCAAGGAGTAAATGATCTCCAATCTCCTTCTGAGCTCCAGCAGTTTAAAATGGATCTTGCAAGAAATGTAGGAGATGGTACAGTGCGGACAGAGCCCTGAATGGGATGTGGGGGTGAGAGAAGTCGGGAGGATCTGGCTTCTAGTCCTGGCGTTGCCATCGGTTCACTTGTGTGATCCTCTGACAAGATTATAGATTGTAGAGCAGGAAAGAAACTTAGAAATCTGGTCTGAATTCTTCATTTTATAGAAGGTGGAGGCCCACAGAAGATCGCATAAGTAGTAGGTAGCAGAACTGAGACTCTGGTCCAAGGCCTTTAGCCCCCTTGTGTTCTTCACAAGGTTCTGAGCTGCCACCACTTCCTTGGACCTCAGTTAGAATGAGAACATTGGCCCACAGGTTTCTTGGAACTCTCAGCTCTGAGATTCTGAGACATTCTGACCTGCAGTCCACAGTACCCAGGACAGCTTTGTCTCTGGGCCCTGTTTTTACTGTCTCCCACCAAGCCCTTTGGGAATCAGTGTGGTGTGAGGAGTCCTGACTTAGATACTTTGTAGCTATGGGACTGAGGCATAGCTTTTTTGAACCTCATTTTCAACATCTGTTAAATTGAAATGATGCCTGCCCTTTCTCTGTCATGGAGTTATTGTAAATGAACTACTTGGTAAATGAACTTTTAAAAAAAAAGCTTAATTGCTACCTCTTGCTTTTATATTACCTACATTTCCTACTATGTCTTTCCCTCTTCCTTTTCCTGGAGAATCATCCTTTTTTTTTAAAAAGAAGGTAAGGAAGGAACACCTGAGAACTAATCAGCATATCAAGCCAGCTTGATTCTATATGTAGTGTTCCACACCCATAGACCCCCACCTCTGCAAAGAAGGTGGGAGGTACATTCTCTATCTCCTCTTCAGGGCCAGGCTTGGTCACGATGATTTCATAGCATTCTGTTTTGATTGTGTTGTGGTCGTGCTTCCCGTTTATGTCATTGTGTGCATCATTTTCTAGTTCACTTTGCATCCTTTCATGTGTGTTCCTGTGCATGAAAAAACACGATGTGAATGTGATGTGTTTTTATTTGCTGTTACTGCCGTGTCACCTCCTCTCATCCCCTTTATGTATGGCCCATTCTGATTCATAGTGTGTTATGACAAGCATGACTCCATGCGCCCTCCAGGCCACAAGTAGGATAGCATCCCTCCTCCTTAAACTCATGCTTTGTCTGAGGATGAGGGAGTCGCCTCTGCTGGAGAAGCGGGTTGTCTCCCAGAGTGGGCTGGCTTTCCAGACCGCGTCGACAGCTGCCACATCCTGGAGGCCAATGAAGCTCTGAACAAGTGCCACAGCCACCAGCAGGCTGAGGAGCCTCGTTCTAGGTTGGTTGCTGAAAGTTGCTCCCCATCCTTTTTACCCCCCCAGCCTGTGAAGACCGAGACAATGACTGTCAGCAGCATGGCGATCAGAAAGAAGATTGAGCCTGAGGCCGTATTGCAGGCTAGAGTCAGTACGATGGAAACAGCCCAGGTGACACGCCCTTCCCCCTCCTCCCCATCCTGGCCCCTGCTCTTGGGAAGTCTCTCAAGAGGTATCTCAAGTAATGCCAGTAAAACCGAGGGAGGGAGTGGGGGATCCCCTTGCCAGCTTTTGACCTCCTGTGATTTCATCACGAGGTCTGTGTTCATGTCTGTATTTCCAGTCAGCTCATAGTATCCCCTAAACTTCCTTCTTGTCAGCAGGTGGATGGGGGAACAACTGGGGGGAAAGAGATGATAACAACTTCCCACTCTGTCACCATGGAAACCACCTGCACTACCATGGTAAGCTGATGTAGCCCCATCTGGCTATCTCCAGTTGGGGCAAAGGTGGGGAGGCAGTGCTGGACATGTGCCTCTCAGTTCCCTCTCCTTGATTTCCCCCTCACAGTACTAAAAACAGCGCGTGTGGTCAAACCTTGAGTCTCTGAAATGAGTTGAGCTTTGGCAGATGCGTGGCTCTGGGCCTCAGGTATCCCAAGAGCCTCTGTCTTATGGGTAGAAGGAGAGGCCATATTCTGACCAGCCAATATGCCTGGAGATTGGGCACTTCTGACAGACCAGTTTTTTCTGTGCAACTAAAGTTTAATCAGAAACATCTGTTTGAGTCCTTATCATTTTTGTAGCCAGTCAGGCAGTCGGTAAACATTTGTTAAGTGCCTGCTATATGTCGGGCTTCGTGCTAAGCACTGGGATCCAAAGAAACCCCCAGATTAGTGAGGGAGACACCATGCAAACAGCTATGTACAAACAAACTACATTACAGCATAGCTTGAAATAATCAACAGAGGGAAGGCATTAGAATAAAGGGGTATTAGAAAAGGTATCATGTAAAAAGTGGGATTTTAGCTAGGACTTGAAAGAAGCCAGGAAGCAGAGATGAGGAGGGAGAGAATTCCAGGCATCCAGGGAGCAATCAGTGAACATACCTGGAGCTGGGAGCTTTGTTCGAGGAACAACGAGGAGGCCAGGGTCACCAGGTTGCAGAATACATAGCAGGGCTGGGGTGGGAGGGTGTAAGGTATAAAAAGACTGGAAAGGTCAGAGAAGGGCCAGGTTACAAAGGACTTTAAATGCCAAACAGAGGATTTTATATTTAATCCCAGAGGTGGATAGGGAACTGCTGGAGTTGATTGAGTAAAGAGTGGCATGGTTGGAACGGAGCTTGAGGAAGATGACTGACAGCTGGGTGGAGGATGGACTGGACGGGGGTGAGATTTGTGGCAGGGAGGCCGCCCAGCAGGCTACCTCCTGACAGTGTCTGCATTTACATTCTACGAGTCACCTATGTGACCTTGGGCTGACTCCTATCCTTTCCCTCCTTCCCACCTGATTTTCCTCTCCTTTAAAGTAAGTGGGTTAGACTAGGTCACCTTTCTGTTTGCTGCCAGATCTGGCATTGTCTTCTGTGCTCTCGGGCCCCTTCCTAAATCCTAGGATCCCAACTTGGTCAGTAAAATCCAGGCTCCAGGAGTGGGTCTTTGATGTGGGCCTCAGAAAGCACAGTGTGATAGAAAAAGACCACAGTTCCACCGTGCTTAATAAGAACAATATAACAAAAAACCTTGGACAAGTCACAACCCCCTGAGTCTCAGCTTCCTCAGCTGTAAAATAAAGAGTTTGTACTATATGGCCTCTGACATCTCTTCTAGCTCAATAGCTGCTGTTCAGTCATGTCTAACTCTTCTGTGACCCCGTTTGGGGTTCTCTGGGTAAAGATGCTAAAGTGGTTTGCCATTTCCTTCTCCAGCCCATTTTATAGATGAGGAAACTGAGGCAAACAGGAGGCCAGGTTTGAACTCAGGTCTTTCTGACCCTTGGCCTGATGCTCTATCTACAGTACCACCTAGCAGCTAGCTCTATAGCTATGAAACTATTCTTATTACCCAGAATCATGGGTACCTCCTTCCCAACAACTGCCAAAGAAGAGTAGAAAGAACTCTGTATTACAGATGCAGAGATATGAGCTCAGCCTGTAGCTTGTTGTATGAACTTGGGTTAGGGCACTTCCCTCCGAGCCTCATGTTCACTTATCAGTCCCCTTGGGTAGTAACCCCTGCTCTGGCTGCCTCACAAGGAATTTAGGAATCGAGATGAAGAATTGCTTTAAAAAGTTAAAGGTTCCCTTTATGTATAAGCGATCTTGAACATCGGCGATCCAAGAATGAAGACAGGGATGGAGAAACTATAGGTTATTGGGGCAAACATATCAAATCTGGTTTTTATCCCTTGGAAAATTTTTGTATTTCTTTTTAATTTTTAAAGTAAGTCCTTGTTTTCTTGTTATTTGCTACTTTCTCCTAAACACAAATTGCAGAGAGAAAAAAAAAGACAAAAGACAATTTAATTCAACCTAATTCCTGGTTTGGAATTCCTAATTTCTTTATAACATAAAAAGATTCAAATGATTTTCTTCCCCACACTTCTCCCCAGCCACTTGGCTTTTGTTCCGCTTGCCCCCAGAAGGTCCATTGTATTAAAGTTAAAGGGAAAGGGACTATAGTTCAATATAAGGAAACCATCTGAAAAATCAGAACTATTCAACAATGGAATGGGCTACTTTGAAAGGTAGTGAGCTTGCCGTCGCTGGTACTGTTCAAGTTAAAGCTGGACTGCTGGATGTCATAGGAGAAATCCTACCTGGAAAGAGGGGCTTTCAGAGATACCGCTTTCCCCTCTAGCTTAGACACAAAGGATTATAGAACTAGAAAGAATCACAGAACCCACTGAGTCCAGCCCTCTCATTTAATAGACTGGGAAGGTGGGGGGGTTCAGAGGGGAGAAATAACTTGCCAAAGAGGCTTGCTTCACAAGTTAGAAACAGAGTCAAGACCCTAGAACTCAGGTCTCTATTCCAAATTACTTTCCATTTAGTTTGTATATATTTTGCTTTGATTTGTCGGTCTTAAATGTTCCTCTAGTAGAATGTAATCTCCTTTTATCCCCAGCATTTAGCACAGTGCCTGGCATGTCACTGGCAATTAATAAATGCTTGTTGAATGATGAATGAGTGACTGTATCACTTACCTGGAGATTCAATAATACCACTGCTACTCATTAATTATTTGTTAATTAGTAATTCATAAGAAACTCTGTGGCTGTGGGAACTCTGTGTTCTCACGCTCAAGTGCACTGGTGCCCATGGGGGAGGGCCCTGGGTGCCTGCCCACTCTCCCCTCGAGCCTGGCAAGCCCTTGAGGTCTACCTGTTGTTATTTCTCAAGGAGAACAGTCTGAAGTCTGGGAAGGGAGCAGCAGTCATGATTCCCGGACCGCAGACGGTGGCAACAGAAATCCGTTCTCTTTCTCCGGTAAGGGATCCATCCTCCATCCATTTCCATGGTTGCCAAAAGCCCAGAGGCTGGGGGAGTGGAGTAGACTGCCAGTTCTAGTTATTAGAGCCGTTCCTGGAGTTGAGACCATTCAGGTTCCCTATGCATCCATTAGGAATTTTTTCCTTATTATTAAGGCAAAACGTATACCTCTGTATAATTTCCATCCATTGCCTTTAGGGCTAGGTGGAACAAATGTAATTTCTCCTCTAGTTGGACTTTCAAAAACTTGAAGGTAGTGGTTCTCACCTTCTCTATTCGCCTTCCCACCCCTGATTTTCTCTTTTCTAGGCCTGATATTCCTAGTGCTGTTAACTGTTCATCTTATGACATAGTTTCAGGTCTTTTGATTTATTCCAGTCGTCCTCCTTTGGACGTGACCCTTCCTGAAATCAGGCCCCAGGTCTAAGCACAACCCTCCAGGTCAGGGCTGCTACTGCCTTCATGGCTCCATGCCTCCATGCCTCCATGGCATGTCCAAGGCAGCATCATGAACCTCTCTCTACATGGCGTGTTTCAGAAAAGTTCTAAACTAGGAGCCAGGAGACCTTGGTTCTAGTATCACCTCCTGAATAGGTCAAACAACTTCTCTGCATCTGTTTTCTGACCCCTGAAATAAAGCATTGTAGTTGGTGATCTTGAAGATACCTTTCCTGTTCTAAGATTCTAGGAGGCTGGAATTTTCAGCAAGCCTATGCCTGGAGAGAGGACTGGTGACCAACCTTAATGAGGAGAGGGCACCATTCACCTCATTCTTCTCTCTTTGTCCTTCTTCCTGGTTAGGCTGAGGGTAGGAGAAGCCTCAGGGCTCTCTCTTTTGCTTTTTAACTTAAACCAATGATTCTCAAAGCGTATGCCATAGCACTAACCTCGAATGGCAAAGATCTCTTGTCCCAGAGGGTGTCCCCCAATCCTGACCTCCACACTCTTCCCTAGCATCCTTGTGGGATGCCATGCCTCCTCCATTTAATGCCTGGGAATGGGGTGGGCTTGTGTCCCTTGCAGATCATCGGGAAAGATGTACTCGCCAGTGCCTATGGGGCCACTGCAGAAACCCTGTCCACTTCCACTACCACCCATGTTACCAAAGTAAGTACCATTTAAGAGATGGGGGAGGGTATCTGTGGCATACAGAGGCTTTCTATGAACCCAGCTCTATGGCCCTTGAGACAGTGTGGTGCAGTAGAAAGAATGCTTGATTTCAAATCGGAGACCCGGGTTTGAACTCTGGCTCTGCTACCCATTGCCTGTGTAACCTTGGGCAAGTTGCTTAACCTCCCTGGTTTCCTCATCTGTAAAATGAGGACCTTGACCTGGATGTTCTCCAAGGAACCTTCCAGCTCTAGATCTATTATCCTAGCACTCATGGGGAAAGCCACTAAAGATCTCAGTTGTGGCCAAGATCTGCCCCAAGCTCTCCTTATGACCTTGGGCAAGTCCCTTCTCCTTTAGGG